AAAATCCTTTCCATTGTTCTTAGTAACAGCCCGTGTGTGAAGGGTCAGCCACTCGTACCCCGCTGTAAACTCAAAGCCTTCTCTGAGCTTTTAGATGATAACCTTATTTGCTGATTTAATAACAGCTTCTATGCTCTGCAGCTCTGGAACAAACTGCATGAAGAGCAGAGACATCCAGACACCTTTTGAGCAGGACGGCGCTGCAGAGCATCCATGATGCTTTGAGTCAAAGATTTCAAAGTTTACAGGTAATGTTGATTCTAAGTTCAACCAAAACGGTAACAAACAGAGACCTAAACGCTTTATAGAGAAGATGATTATATCCACTGTTAGGATAATTATCACTAAGCCTGGATCTGGTTCTGGTCTACCCTGTCTACTTTTAAGGCTAGGCTTAAAACTTTCCTTTTTGATAAAGTTTATAGTTAGAGTGGCTCAGGTTATCCTGAGCTATCTCTATAGTTATGCTGCTATAGGCTTAGACTGCTGGAGGACATAGGGACCCCTTTTTCATCATTCTGCTTCATTCTCTCTCTGTTCTCCCACTCTGCAGAATCTGTTAGTTCAATCTCTAACGTTCTGCTCTCTCTGCTTTTTCTCATAGTAGCTTCATGTGGTCTGTTCCTGTTTGGCTGTGACTCCATCCTGGAGAGAAATATCAGGTTATCCTGAGCTATCTGTAGTAATCTCTGCTATAGGCTCCCTTTTCAGAGGCATAGACCAGTATTAGGTTTTGCAGGTCAACAAAGACCTCAATGACCTGTTCGTCCGTTTAAATTTGAATGTTTTCTAAACAAAAACAAGGCTTTGTTGGTCCACTCTATCAAGCCTGGAACTCAACGCTACTATGATATTTTGAATTGAAAAAGCTTCCTGGATAGGAAGAGAAACGTCTTCAAACTTGGAAACAAAGTCCAGAAATGAGCTGAGAATTCAACCAGAAACAAACATTTCATAGATTAAAATAAAGATTAGAATAAATCCTGTGGATAGCATCACGCTGTCAGTGAGCAGCACCACAGGAGAGGGAGAGACTGATCAGTGGCTGGGATGAGTAGAACCCTTTCCAGCTGAAGAGGAGGTGCAACAGACAGACAGACAGACTCTCTTCACAGTGACATCATCATGTTCTCCTGCTGCAAATGATCGACTTCATCCTGTCTCAGTGTCCCTGCTCCTCGGGTCCTTCATGTTTCAGATGTGTCTCTCCTACCTGAATGATTGAATTAGCACCTCAGCAGCCATCAAAGGCTGCAGAAGCCTGTTAATCATGTTTTTATTCAGGTCAGAGTGACTGAAGGCAGGAAGCAGCTAAAGAATGTAGGACGGAGGGCCCTGAGGACCAGGGTTCAGAAACTCTCTCCTTTAGTTACTGCCTGAGCTTTTACTAAATGTCTTTCATCTTTTAGACATTATTACTGGCTTAGATTGAACAGATTGTTGATTATATGTAGGATCATGTCCACAATTTAAGAAAGAGAGAAAAATAGATTGATCTGAATATCCAAACAAATGATGGTTCCCATGCATTATGTTTATGTTTGTTATGTTTAAGCCTTAATTTACCGAAAAAAATAAAACTATTTTTGCAAAGTGGAATGCAACAAATTCCACTACAATTTCTAAAATATAGAAAGCCTGCTGGACCTTTAATCTAATTAAAGGTCCCATCCTCAGTGTAATCTGACCTGCTATTCATCTAATTCATCCGTCTTCTACCACTTATTCCATCAGGGCCACAATGGGGCCGGTGCCTAATCCCAGCAGTCTAAGGGCCAAAGACAGGGGCCACCCTGGACAGGTGGCCAGTCTAGCACAGGAAAACACTCAACCACTGACTTGCATTTCTCCTTTATGTCTGCAGCCTAACTGTAAACCCAACAGGTTCTAAACTAAACTCAATTGAAAGCTTAGTCCTAAACCATAAAACAGCATTTTACCCGAGGGACCAGTCATTGGCTCCCTACTAGGAGGAGTCGGTCCCCACCGTGCAACAGGCAGGTTTTCTGGAAAGTGGGAGGAATCAAGGCTATCCAGAGAGAACCACTGCATGCATGTGGGGAACATTTAAAAAAGATGCTGGACCAAGAATCGAACCCTGGACCTTTGTTGCTGCAAGGCAGCAGCGCACTAACTGCAGGGGGAATTTACTGTTTGGCATTACTAGGCAGGTGCCTAGGGCCCCAAGCTCCTCGGGGCCCCATAAAACTCTGTTTTATGGGGCCCCGAGGCACCTGCCCAAAAACAAAAACATAAACATTAATTATGTTTTGATAAAAATCCTTTGGCTAAAATGCCATCAGAACGCTGATAATACTAAGTGTGTCTCAGTCCCCCCTTCAGTGTCCACCATCTTGGATCAGTCCATTTGCTGCTCATGTTCAGAAAGGTCCAATCAGACAGCAGCAAACCATTTGAAAACAAACCATGCAAAGAGCAGTGTTGCCAACTTAGCGCTTTAGTCGCTATATTTAGCCACTTTTCAGACCCCTCTAGAACTTTGATTTCTAAAAAGCTCCTAGCGCCAAATCTAGAGACTTTTTTCTGCTACTGGAGACTTTGGAGACAACATCTAAAAGCAGCGAACTCTGCTCTCCAGAGCAAGTAGATTGGTAACCCCGCCTCCTGCTCTCCTCTATCTTGTCTGCTGTCATGATTCATGCAGCTATTATTTCATCCAAATGAAAAATGGAGAACAGAGAAGCAGATCATGGCTTGTCTACAGTGAAAAGAAGGACTGGGTTATTTACTTTGGCCTTTTTGGAAACACAGGAAGGAGCAATCAGCTAAGTGAGCTTAGTGCTTGGAAAAAATCTTTCATTCCTTTAGAGACAGCATGAAAAGTCAGCTGAGTACAAAACATAGAGAGGAAAACAAGAAGAAAAGGGACAAGAAGAGAGGGACACAACCTAGAACAGATAATGGATGGCTATTCTATTAACATTTCTCTATCTGCAGAATGGGTCTGTTAGATGTGCCGTCTTCTCAATTCAGAGGGGCCCCTGCCTGTCTTTGCCTAGGGCCCCACATTTCCTAAATCCGCCCCTGATTAGAGCTCCAGCTATGGAGCTAATGATTTATGATTTAATAATTCAGGTAGAAACAGCTTTTCTACATTCTGCTTTTATTCAATTAAATTGATGGTAAAAATATATATTTTTTCTGTAATTCTGTTTTCTCCTCTGACCCTGACAAGATCAAACCGAGGTTATTAGCAACCAAAAGAGGCTTCCTTTAAATGGCTATAAGTGATAAAAGTAAGAATTTATTTTTATATTTGTATTGTTCACTGTAAAGTTTGTACTGTTGTGTTTTAGATTTCAGAGACAACAGATGGAAAATAACCTCTTGGCTGATTCTGGTGCATCTGCAGCAATGCTAATTAATTCACACTGTCAAATTAATGAAATTAAAAAGTGATGCATGACACATTTAGCGAGTATTTTCACCATCGCTCTTCAGGTTAATCGATGGACTATGTTGAAAGGATGAGCTGGATGTGGACTTGGACCTTCAGCAGAGAGGACATTACATCATCCATTAGTGACGGCGGCAGACGTGCTGCACCATGTGAGCGCTGCATGGGTGACCCTCATTATTGGGAACCTGATCACCTGCCTAAGGCACGGTTCTGTTACCGGGCTGCTGGTTCACCTCAGGCCATTAAAAGCTGGGTTTGTGTAAAACAGATCCATTCTACAGATAGAAAAATGTTAATAGAATAGACATCCATTATCTGTTCTAGGTTTTGTCCCTGGTAGCTGATTGCTCCTTCCTGTGTTTCCAAAAAGGCCAAAGTAAATAACCCAGTCCTTCTTTTCACTGTAGACAAGCCATGATCTGCTTCTCTGTTCTCCATTTTTCATTTGGATGAAATAATAGCTGCATGAATCATGACAGCAGACAAGATAGAGGAGAGCAGGAGGCGGGGTTACCAATCTACTTGCTCTGGAGAGCAGAGTTCGCTGCTTTTAGATGTTGTCTCCAAAGTCTCCAGTAGCAGAAAAAAGTCTCTAGATTTGGCGCTAGGAGCTTTTTAGAAATCAAAGTTCTAGAGGGGTCTGAAAAGTGGCTAAATATAGCGACTAAAGCGCTAAGTTAGCAACACTGCTCTTTGCATGGTTTGTTTTCAAATGGTTTGCTGTTGTCTGTTTGGACCTTTCTGAACATGTGCAGCAAATGGACTGATCCAATATGGTGGACACTGAAGGGGGGGGGGGGCTGAGACACACTGAATATTATCAGCGTTCTGACGGCATTTTAGCCAAAGGGTTTTTATAAAAAACATAATTAATGTGCAGAAATAAGGAATAGTAGTATTAACCATACATGGAAACAGAGTTTATGAGGCCCCCAGGAACTTGGGGCCCTAGGCAGCTGCCTAGTATAGCCTAATGGTAAATCCCCCCCCTGCCTCTAACGATGCTTTAGGTCTAGCAGTAGTAATCATGTTCTGCTCTAAACATGCTAATAAACTGGGATTTAAACCAGGATGTTTCTGCCCAGTCTGATGACATCACTCACCCTTTATGAACTCAGAGAAAGTCTGGACTTTACCCAGACTATTGCAACACCTTGATGCCCTTTGTTTTTCTAGCCAGTCTAATATAGATCTGCTCCTGGTGATGACCCACTTTGGACTGACTGGGTTGATAACTGAACGCTGCTCAGCAGCTGGTCGGTACCTGCTGACAGCATAAAGGTTCAGCTCTCTGGATTCATGTTTGCATTCTAGCCTTTATAACCATAAGTGGGTCAGTTTAATGTTTGGACTTTTCTATAGAGCTGCAGTAGTTTTGGTTCCAGATCTATGTTTGATCAGAGTAAAGCTGTGGATAAAGAAATATATCCCAGCGTTACCTGCAGGAAGTTCCTCACAGGAGGATCTTGGTGAAGTAAAACCTGATCTGTGTGGAATGAGCAGAGGGACATTTCTGGGTCTTCCTTCATGTAAATGAAAATCAGCATTTGATGGAAGGAAAAGTGCTGAAATGATTCATTTGATTTGTTGGAATCCTGCAGAATTTATTCAACGTCTCCAGAAAAAGGAAAACATGAATGAGTGAAACTATGTGGGCCTCAGATTGTGAAAACATGGGTTCTTCATTTCTAAGGGCCACTCCAGGTCATCGACTGTGTGAGAGGAGCCCAGAGGCAAGATCTGCAGGAGCCATGTAGAGATGGACCTTCTGAGCTTCCGTACTTTGTCCTTCATGCAGGCTGCAAAGGGAAGGAAGTGGTTTTCCTCTCTATGGGGCCGTCTGTACAGTTAAGCTGTGAAAGATGAGGAGGAATATTTATAGATTATTTTTCACTCCGTCATTCATTTATAAAAAAACTTCCAAACTAAATATTTAGATTTCCAGAAAGCTAAATATTTATTTTCCAAACTAAATACTTGTTTTGTTAAATAAATATTGAGCTTGGCGCTAGCTAAATGTTTAGCAACAGAAACACTGATCTTGTCTATAAATATAATAAACACATTAATGGAAACAATAACTTTATTTTTCCATAGAACTAATGACTGAAAACAAACAGTAAACAGCAGCTCCTCTGATCATCATCTTCATCACCTGGTGGGAGGAAGGATAAAAGGGTGACGTAAGAGCCGCCCTGCTCAGCCCCTCCCCCTCCTCAGCCCATCCTCCTCTTCCTCTTCCTGCTCCTCCACTGCTCCTCTGCTGCTCCGCTCACATCACAGCCTCTCCTGATCGGTGAGTTTGGTTCATGTTCGTTTCCCTGGTCCGGTCCGGTTCGGTTCGGTTCGATTCGGTCCGGGGCTGCCCGTACCGGTAGGGCTGCGACTCCGTGCTGCGTGCAGCGGGCCTCAGCATCCATGGCCGCTCCGCGCGCTGCGGCGGGATCCGCTCACATTGACAGTCGCACGCGGCCCTCAGGGGCCGCTCTGCCGGAACCTGTCGGTTCGGTTCTGCTGCGCAGGCAGACAACGGAAGTATTGGACTGGTTTGGAACTTCCGGTTGAAAAATGTTCAGTAAAATGTAAAGTTGTGACGCAAACAGAACCGGAACCAGAACCCAGCAGCTCCTCCAACCACCGCGTCACTCCGCCCGCAGCCTCCATCTTTGCTCCGCATGAAGGTCGACAGAGGACGGCCAGGGCGACCTTAATGGGGCCCCTGAGGGCCCCCATGCTCTCCTCCTCTGACCTTGGTGTTAGCCTGTTGAGCTAACAGGCTACATGCTTCAAGGCCCTGGCCTCATCCCCGGCCTTCCAACTGGCCCAGAACCGGTCCGGTCCGGGTCACCGGACCTACAGCTGCTTCTAAAATGGACCTGCATGGTGCTGCTTATGGATCTCAGGCTCTGACAGAGGCTCCAGGTTCTGAGCATCAGTAGACCCATCAGCTGGACTTGCTGAGGCTCAGCTGCTCCTCCCCCACCTGTTGCTGCGCACTTCCAGACAGCTGGCTGCAAAGAGGCAGCATCGTGGAAAATGTGGTGGTTCATGAAGGACAGCCGGTTCTGACCCTTTGACCTTGGGTTGCTGCAGAGTGGACCAGCAGAACCAGCTGTGCTCCAGAAGCAGCAGAGCTTTTAGCTTCCCGTCCTCCATCCTGTCGGGTCTTATTTGGTTCTGGTTGATGTGAATTTTGGGTCAACAGTTAGTAAATTCCTGAAAGGATTACTGCAGCCGTCCCCAACCTTTTTTGCACCACGGACCGCTATATGTCAGACAATATTTTCACGGACTGAGGTGAACTGGCATAAAATCAAATACAAACAGCATAAAAATAAAACAAGGCGGTCCCATTTAGGCGTAATCGGAGAAAATGACGGAGAAAATGACAGACGAAGTGTGCTCCTGATGTCCAGTCTGCTCCGTAGCTTTGTTTTGGTCGCTGTAATCGCAGAAAATCCCGCTTCACAAAGACAGGATGTTATAGATAGGAAGAGTCTTAACCTGTGTCAAGAGGCACAGATGCAACGACTGATGTTATTGGGAGAGAATACCGCAATTTTTTATATTTTTCAAAATAAAACATCACTCACACTCTGATTGTTGATACATTTTTATATATATATATATATAGTCCGCGGCCCGGTAGTTGGGGACCGCTGGATTATTGAAATAATCCCTACTTTAAAATTCCCAGAATTCAGTTTGTGGCTGCAGCGCGTTTCTCTTCAGCTTTTATGTAAAATGTTGTCAGGTTTTTGTTGCTCAATCTCCACATTATTTTGCGTAGACTGACAGAAATGCGTCTCAGTGGGCGTGATGCTGTACAGCTCCACCTGCAGGGCATCAGTGGGAGCTGCAGACGGCCATCATGGCGAGGCGCTGAGTGACAGGAAGTCTTTGCTCTGTTCCTGCAGGTCAGTCATGTCTTCAGTCCTGAAGAAGTTGATCACCCCCGTGGCCGGCGCCACCGCCGAGCCGCCCAGGAACAAGGTGACGGTGGTCGGCGTGGGCCAGGTCGGCATGGCGTGCGCCGTCAGCATCCTGCTGCGGGTAAGACTCTTGTCCATCCAGTGGAGAGAAGCGGCTGGCGTTGGCGCTAACCTGTCCCGTCTCGCCGCGTCAGGACCTGTGCGATGAGCTGGCTCTGGTGGACGTGATGGAGGACCGCCTCAAAGGGGAGATGATGGACCTGCAGCACGGCCTGCTTTTCCTCAAGACGTCCAAGGTGGTTGCGGATAAAGGTGAGCGGCCGCTCCGTGTTCCCGCCGGTGCCCCTCCCTGCCGACGCTGTCCAACAGGTCTGCTTTGTGTCTCTGCTGTCAGACTACGCCGTGACGGCGAACTCCCGCCTGGTGGTGGTGACGGCCGGCGTCCGCCAGCAGGAGGGCGAGAGCCGCCTCAACCTGGTCCAGAGGAACGTCAACGTCTTCAAGTCCATCATCCCGCAGATCGTGAAGTACAGCCCCAACTGCACCATTCTGGTGGTGTCTAACCCTGGTGAGAACGGCGCCCCCTGCTGGTCGCCTGCTGGTGCTGCTGGTCATAACCCTGTCCTTCTGCTTCCACCAAATGACAGTGGATGTTCTGACCTACGTCACCTGGAAGCTGAGCGGTCTGCCCAAACATCGCGTCATCGGCAGCGGCACCAACCTGGACTCCGCCCGTTTCCGCCAAATGATGGCCGAACGCCTCGGCATCCACTCCAGTTCCTTCAACGGCTGGGTGCTGGGCGAGCACGGAGACACCAGCGGTGAGTCCGGTTCTCCTGAAACCGCTCCCGGGACGCCGGCGCCGCGCTAACCTGATGTGCTTCCACCGCAGTTCCTGTGTGGAGCGGCGCCAACGTGGCCGGAGTAAACCTGCAGAAGCTGAACCCGGAGATCGGCACCGATGGCGATAAGGAGCAGTGGAAGGCCACCCACAAAGCCGTGGTGGACAGGTCAGTGGTCCCGTTATCAACGCCGCTCTCCTTCCCGATCGCTCGGGTGACGGCGGAATCCACCGCGGTTCTGGAGGCGGCGTTGAGTAACTCTGAAGCTCTGTGTTCCAGCGCCTACGAGGTGATCAAGCTGAAGGGCTACACCAACTGGGCCATTGGCTTCAGCGTGGCGGACCTGACTGAGAGCATCGTGAAGAACCTGAGCCGGGTCCACCCGGTCTCCACCATGGTTAAGGTCAGCCCAGCTCCTCTGGCGAGGTGCTCTGTAACTAGGCGTCGATAGGGGGCGGTTCCTCAGCTTGCTTCTGTTCTCGTGTTCCAGGATATGTTTGGAATCGGTGAGGAGGTCTTCCTGTCGCTGCCCTGCATCCTGAACGGCAGCGGCGTCGGCAGCGTGGTCAACATGACGCTGACCGATGCAGAGGTTGCCCAGCTGAAGAAGAGCGCCGACACGCTGTGGGGCATCCAGAAGGACCTGAAGGACCTGTGAACGGGTCAGGGGACCCGGCAGTCTCGAGGCACCCCTTTTCCACTCTAACACTCTTTCTGTAGGAAGCTGTGAGCTTCTGCTTCCAGCAGACGTCTGCTGCTCCTGTCTGTCGGTGATGTTAGCTGATTTCTAGTCTTCTCGGTTAGGATTCCTACACGAGGCTTTAAAGATCAAACCACGCCCCCTTCCAGGTGTTCTCCTGATTTTACTTTGCTCCTTCAGCTTCAGGGATTCTCCTAGAAACTCCTCGGGCCTCGTACCAAACGGTTGCTAACGTTAACAGATGTCCTTCAAACAGCTGTGTGTCCAGACTTGTATAATCAGATGTGTTGGAATAATAAATGTTCTCACAAAGGTGTCTTCTGACTGGTTTCTAAAGCCGCCTCCTGTCTGCTTCCGATGGTCCGGCAGGCTTCAGACGTAGACGGAGCGTTGGCGCATTGGGGGGGTGAGCAGCGCTGGGGGCAAAGCAGGAAGTAGAACTTCAGAGGACAGGACTTAGTGATGTCATCAAACGCAGATCTGAGGTTTTTGGGGTTATAGATCCACAGAAATGTTAAAGATAAAACAGTGAAAGTGCAAAAAAATGAACAAGTTAGCAGCAGAAGGTAGAAATTTATAGAATAAGAAGAAATCCAATCCTGGATGGAAACGTTCTATTGTCAATAAGACAGATGAGGGTCCAATAGCAGCCATTCAAAATGGCCGCTCCCAGTAAAACACCAGCTGAATGGCAGCCCCCCTCCAGCCCATGTTGTTTTCCTCTGACTCCACCCTGTCACTGAATAACGGGGTCTGACCAGGAGATGACGCTTCTGTAGATCTAAACGTCCACAAATCATGACAGAATATTTTAGTACAAAGATTGATTAAAGCAGAATCTCAGGGGACATTTTGAATGGCGGCCCCTGTAATGGTGACAGAGGCGTAACTTTCTGAAGGCCTGGTGTGGACACGTCCACAATAAGTTCAGCTTTTTTTCCCTTTAGCCAAAGGTAACAGAGGTTGGCTGCAGCTATCTGCATTCAGAGCGTTTTCAGGTTTTTTTTCTCGTTCTGCTCCCGTGTCCCGCCTCTCGGTAAATCCTCATCAGATCTGTCACTTTGAGACATCTGATCTGATCGTATTTCACTGCTTAGAGAGTCGCTACGTGGAGGAGACACAGCAGCATTCAGTGAACATTAACCAGCAGCTGGTTCCATGTTTAAGTAAAAGGAGACGGGTTAGTTAAAATAACTAGAGATTATTCCACTGAAAAATCCGTTAGAAATCAGGAGCTTTTTGAGCTAAAAATGGCAACAGAGTTTAAGTTTAAACAAGTTGGTAATATATATCTGTAAAGCAAGACGCTTGAGAAAACATAGTTTGTTTTTTATTAGTTAAAAGTTAGTCTTCTCAGAGGACCATGACTCCCAGTTCCAGGTTAAAATGTTTTTATTGAACAATCAGACTGCAGAGCTTCTACAGATCTAGAAATTTAGTTTCTAGCATCATTATATTAGTAAAGAGGTTCATAACATTTCTGCTGATTTACGCAACATGCAATAAAATATATCTCCAAGTTTACCAGAAAGCTTACAAGAAAAAATGGAATGGAATTGAAATTTTACTTCTAGGGATGCAGGATATATTGATTTTGGGCATCGGAATCGGCTGTTAGTTATTTTTACTATACATTGTTTTTGGGCCCTATATATCTCTAGATATATAGATATACCTGCTGTGGTGCTGGAACTTTGCTGTTCTCCAGACTGAAGACCTCCTGGTTCTGCTGAAAGATGCTGGTATTGACGGTTCTGGTCATTCTGCATCTTTGACACCTTGAATCAGGTGCTTCCCTGATATGAGTTCTGTAAACATTGATCTTTATAGATCTGGAGTATTCAGAATATTAGTTACTCGTTTGGTTTGTGTCCTGAACATTTTCCCAGCCGCCCCTCTAACCATCAAAGACCTCAGCTGGGATTCAGCAGATCAAACGATATGAGGAACGACTCGCCCCTCTGAGGTGACATTTAATTCATGTTGAATTCAAACTGTTTAACCGCTTTTTGTGACTGAAATGTCTGAGAGAAACTATGATGTCATCTG